CCCTGTTTACCCCCCCCCCCCCAACCCCCCTTCCTTTATCCTTTTTTTTTTTTTTTTTTTTTTTGATTTTTTTTCTCTTCATTTCCCGCATTATTTTTTTTCATTTGTTTTTCCCATTCTTCATTTTATTTTCATTCGTAAATTTTTTGATTTTGGAAAAAAAACAAAAATAAATATAAAAAAAAGAAAGGAACAAAGAAAAAATCATTAAAAATGAAGTCATCACGAAGTATGGTCATTTTATTTGTTGTTTTGTTGGTGATGATGATACAATCTGGTCGATCGATTATCGATGTTGATGGTAATGATAAATCAATCGATTTAATTGATCCAAAATGTCAATGTTGTGGTCAACCATCCGGTAGATATTGTGGTTATCAATTGAATAATGATTGTCATAATAATCATGATACGATGGATATTCATTGTTCATCGGATTCAATTTATTATTGTTTTTCAACATATCGTATTGCACAACGTGTACGAAATTGTACCATCGATGATAATCGTGATGGTGGTGGTGGTGGTGATGGTCGAAAAAATTGTTTGCAAATATCAATTGGATCATCAAGATGTTCAAATCAATGAATATTCTTTGTATGATTTAACTTGATAATTTTTAAAATTAAAAATAAAATTCTTGATTTTGGATTTTTGTTTGTAAAATTTTTTTAAAAGATTCGAAATTCTTGAACAGATTTTATGAATAGGATTCGAATGAATAATTCGAATGTTTTTTTTTTCTTGTTAAATCCAGCGTTTACACTTCAAAAACAAAGTGTTTGCTCTCTGTTTTCATCCGATTCGGCGACGACGACGACTGTTCTCTGACAAGTGTTCCAAAAAGACATCACATGGAACACTTAAGACTTTTTTTGGAAAATTTAGAGCGCGCGAAATTGATTTCTAAAAAATCTAAAATCATCGAATCAATCGAATCGAATCAAAAAGTGATCACCTTGAACGAAACAAAACGAAACAAAAATCAACTTAAAATATCATCGGCCAAACGAAACAAACAAACAAAAAAATTTACTCAAAATATCATCGGTAAAAAGCCATAAATTTTTTTTCTTTCCTTTCTGACATTTTCATTTGTGATAATCATCATCCGAGCTAATCAAAATTTTATGACATTATCATCATCATCATCATAAAATAATCATTTAGCTCATCAAGAATCTACAAAGTCAGTCATTCAATTTTGCCAAGTTTTGACATATATCATATTATTGTATCAACTTTGCCTTTTGTTGAATCAATCATACCATATATCATGTATCAACAATTTCGTCTACTTAATTAAGGATTATTATTTGAAAAATAATAATAATTACTATCCGACTTAATCATCATCGCCGCTTTTATCATCATCAAATGATTCGATTTTCTTTTTTTGGCGTGCTTTCGAACGTCAATCATATCCAACAACAACAACAGAAAAAAATCGTTCGAAATTATCGTTCGAAATCATCAACCCTTGATGTTGAAATATCCTTGAAATTGAAAATAGCACATCGATCGATTGATTGATCGACCGAAATGTGTGGTAATCATATCATCATCAAATTTCTCGTTATTTGAATGATGATAATCAAGACAAAAACCTTAACCTCGATGTAATGATAATCGATTAGCAAACAATTCTCAATCTCTTACCATAGCCTGGCTACAAATTGAATCTGGTTGATGGATAATAATAATCTTATCCATGTGAAACAACAACAACGACCAAAAAAAAATATGAAATTTTTTTCAACCTTGTGTCCAATTCGTATTCTAAATTGAATTTTATCGTTTTTGTTGGTGATCGGGCTGTGTGTGTGTTTTCAATTTCATCAACCTTGTCCGATTTTGATTAGGAAAAATTTTAGTTTTTTTCGTTCAGTTTACCCAGAAAAATTTCAACAAAAAACCAAACCAATCGGTAACCATTCTAAGAAACACAGAGAAAAAAATTCCATTTCATTGATTGTTTATCGATCGATATTGATTACCAATCAATCAATCAATCAATCAAACTAATTGGTAATGAACAAAAACGTGATTCGAATATATTGCATCAAGAAAATAAACATCATCAACAACAAATGAATGAATGAATATTGAAAGAATTGAAAACAAAAAAATCATAATCCCCCTACCATCACATCTTGATGATGATCAACAACAACAACAACAACAACATCCTTCAAGGCTATCAACGGAAATCATTATTTTTTTCTTGTTGTTGTTGAAATGTTGAAATGTCTACCATCAATATTTCACCACCATCATTCAATTGATCATTGCTTGATTGTGTGTATGGTGTGTATCCTTGATGTTTTGTTTCAACAGAAAACATTTTTTTATATTCACAGTGTTTAACAAGTGTTAAATTTTGTCGAAAAAAAATGATGATGATGTTTGAAAAAAATATAAACAAAAATTTTTTGATCAGGAACAAAAAATCAATCGATTCCGGTATTGATATTTATCGCTTTCTCTTTTTTTTTTTCTAATTATCATCGCAAAATCAATCCAAAAATAACCATGGCTACAATGTGTTAACCTAATTGTGTTATCTTTTATTCTTGATGTTGATATCTTAACAATGTGATAATGAAATGAATGGTGAAGGGTTAAATGGTGGAATTAGTGAAATTAACACGCATCTGATTAAGTAAAGTGAAAAAACGGGATTTTTTTTTCCATTTTTCTGCCAAGTTTTCCTTTCAATGGTGTGTCGGGTATGTGTCTATCGGGTGTTCTGCTTTCCCTTCTTTCTTTTTTCTTTGCTCAATTTTTTTTGACGGTCACATCAAGTATTTATCAACAAGTTTTTTTTTACTTATTTAAATCATCATTCGGGTAAATTCATTAATGTTTTATTTTCCAGTTAAAATCCTTATCAAATGGGATTATCAATGGCGATAATCAATGTTAATTGATACTATTGATTGATTGATTGATTGCTTGCTGTTATTCTTTTTTTCTTGTTTATCCTTTTTTTTCTCATTCATTCTTCTTCAACAGAAAAAATTATCATACAAAGACCTCTAAACAAAAAAAACTGATTTGATTAGGTTTTTTTTGTTTTCTTCTTCTTCTTTTTCTTTGGTTTAAATGATAATGTTGACCAAGATTTCCAGCTAAATTCAAATATCAATTCAAAATATTCATCATCATTGTATGTTTGTACATCGTTCGGTCGTGTTTGCTTGTTTGTTTGTGTGTGTGATCCAAAACCATAAATACCGATTGCATTCTTTATTCAACCAAAAAAAAAAAAACTTTGAAAAATTTGTTTGTTTTCACAGAATTTGAAATTTGAAAACTTTTTCACTTTCCCTGGATAAATAAATGTCGAATACAATAATTCATCATCGTCATTCATCAACACAAACACCATCATCATCATTGATAATTTCACAATATAATAATGTAGATATTGATATTGATATTGATGATAATGATAATATCAAGAATTTGGACGAATGTCAAGATCAACATGACCAATCATCATCATTACCAATGATAACGAATGAAGAAGAAAATCATTCAAATCATTATCATCAACAACAACCACAAATGAAAACAAATCAAAAATATATTCTTTGTCCATTAGAAACGGAAAAAGATTGTACAATCGATACAATCGATTTATTGGATCATACAAAAACATTGGATTCTATTCATCATAATCATCAACATCATCATTTATTAAAAAATTATTTTGTTCAAATCGATAATAATCATAATAATTTAGAAGAAGAAGAAGAAGAAATGAAAAAGAATAAAAAAATTGATCCATTAATAATGAACATTAATGGACA